AGAATTGGTTTACTTTTCCAGAGCCACCAGCCAGGATGGCTATTTACCATCTGGAAATTAGGACAACGGCTTTATTTAGATATCTTTTTATGGAAATCTTTCCCAGCAACCAGATTGTTTTGTCCTTCTGGGCCATCCCTGCATCCTCTTCCCTCCTCCTCCTTGAAGGATTTTCCACACAGATTCCCCTGACCTTTCTAACACCTCTCCTTCTTCAGTCTCTGATTCCAAAAGGAAGCTCTCTCTCTGACCCTCAAAAGAAGATTCAATCTTCCTGACTTATCTCAGACCTAAATAGTTCTTCCATCTAGCAAGTGTCAGATTTGACACATGCAGCCATTGACATTATTGGAATTAGATTACTGATTTTCTTTATGGCGATCTTCCAGATGAGAATGATATATGTAGGAAGGCAAGAACTATGCCTGCCATTCTCAGTGTTAAATCTGGAAAGGTGCTTTACTCATAGCAGCTGCTCAGTGAATACTTCTAACCAGTTTTTTGAACAGTCTGAACTTGGTTTGTTGGGAGCTTATGTTGTCCCCATTCACATGAGGACTATGTCAAATCTGCCTCCCATCGCCTAAGAATGTTTTGGGAAAATCATTCAGTTTCATTTCTAGCATTTCCAGTAACTTAACAGTACAGCTCAGATGTAAAACTCCCCTTTTACTTTTTCCTGTCACTTCAGCCCAGGCTTGTCTCATGATCTAAAAATCCGTAATAGGGAAGAGTCTGATCTTTCCCCTTCGATTGTACCTCATCTAGTTCCAGCTTCTCAAATGATACAGGGCCAGGAGGAGAGGATCAAATTATGTCTTAGTTACCTGGCTCCTGGTGGTTGTCTCTGGTTTTTGTAGAACACAGGTGCAACGGCTGTCAGGATGGGGGCGGGGGACTCTCCACTGAAAAGTGTGCTGATGTGGGAGATCTCTGGCTTGGCCTCTTCCGGCCCTCCTCCCACTCAGCTCCCACCAATGATGTATCAATAAAACTTGCCGCTGGGATCTGCTTACCTGGTGGCTAGAGTGGCAAGACAACTGAAGCTTGGCTATGGCTGCAAAGTCCAAACCACCACATCCTCGCCATGCCAAACAGTGGGTGTGCAGGCTGCTCCCGATCTTGCTGCAACGTTGTGTTTCTGTCATGAAGAAAATCAACAGATCTACTACCCAACGAAGAAACGAGACATGAGGCTCCCTTTCTTTTGCATACCTCGAACCTCTCACGTGGTACTCTTGGAGGTCTCTTTCATGTGGCACTATCGGTGGAGAACCTTACCCACAGGGAGGGAAGGGGAAAGCTGCAGGTCTCCCCAAATTCCAACACTTTTGATCCTGATTATCCTCTTTCTCTCTTCTCTCCTTAGACCTCTGCTTATATAAAGTGGGGGTAAAGAGCACTGGGGTAGTAAAACCAGTTCGGTCACCCCCTCCCTAAGCCCTAGAGGTGGTGCTGCCCCCACTTTATTTGCAGCTTCCTGGAACGTGAAGTCTTTTTGTCCTAGTTCTAAACATGAGGCATCAGGGAAAGTGCCTTTGGGAATCCTATTGCAAATATCTGTTGAGAGAACCAACCAATGTGTCTGCTACATTGTCAGCTCCTTAGGGAGTCCCTGTCCAAGTTAGTCATGGGGATGGGAGGCACTTGTTGAGGGGACTGTGATTCCTATGTCAGTAAAGGAAGAAGGAAACAAACCAAGGCCCTGCCTATCAGGGAATGTGCAGACCTTCACGGGCAGCTGGAACATCAGAGGCAGAATCGGCATGGTGAGGTCTGAGTGAAAAACGGGAGTCATGAAAAACTGTATCAGCAGAATGGAGTGGGACAGAGGAATGGAACAATGAGAGATGGAAAGATGATGGGAATAGAACATAATGGTGATGAAAATGTGTAGAAGGTGATGGAAGAGAGAAGAAAGACAGATCGGCTGGAGTTGGGGGAGGGGACTGGGCAAAAGGAGTGGGCTCTGACTCGTCCAACTGGAACAAAGGGCTGGGCAGAGCAGCTGGTGAAAGAGAATAGAGCCTGTGGTTAGCATTTGCCAGCTGGTGCAGGTGGCTCTGAGCTAAATCCTTCCTCTGCCCATCATGCAGTCTTCTAAGAAGGTTAGAGATGGGGGAGGAGGAGAGGAAAGAATTGTGGGGAAGAGAGAGGACACTCGCCAGGTGCAGGGGCTGCCACCTTCACAAATGCACTTGAACATAGCCCGACAGCACTGTGGAGGAGGCTGATCCTTTTATTACTGGACAAGAAGTGACAGTGAGAGATGGAAGCTTTCTAAGGCTGCTTTGACCATACCAACAGTTGCGTAAAATTATCCTGGCCAAAGAAACCATTTAAAATCCAAATCCTCAGTGAAGACTTTCGGAAACACTTCCACTCCCAACACCCCACAGCCCCGTTCCTTAAAGAAAGCCGTTCAGGTAACGAGCTCAGCACAGAGCCAGGACGTACACGGGCTCAGTCAGTGTTCCTTCTCAATAAGCAGCTTCCAGCATGAGACCCCTAGCACAGGCAGACACTTGGTAAATATAGGCGGTAAATGAATAAACCCATTGATCGGAGCTGCCCCGTCTATTTATATGTGCCCCTACCTGCTCCCAACACAAGGGCACATACCAAGCTGTTGGTTTGTGCAAAGCCAGATGTGAGGGTTACATTCTCTTAGTCCACAGGAGCTCCTGGCCTTGCCTACCTTCCACGTGTAACCTCATGCTGGCTGTTGAGATAAGCTGGTTCCCATCCCAGACCTACTGATTCAGAGTCTGCATTTTCACAAGATGCCCAGGTGATGTACTGGCAAGCTGGAGTGTGAGAAGCCCTGACCTTATCCAAGGCTTTAAGTTTTACTTAAACTCGCTGCGGTGGAGCCAGCAGAGGGCAGTGCAAAGGAGCTTGCCTGAGCAGCCTGAGGGACGAGGGGGAAGCCACTTATCCTGAGACCTCAGTTCACAAGAGGATGCTCATGACTAGAACTTGAGGCAAATTCTGGAGTATCCTCTTTGCACAAAGACAAATGGGCTTGCATATACTGATAAGGGAACACACCAACCTTTTTTTTTTTTTTTTTTTTTAAGTATACAGGGTCTTGCTTTGTTTCCCAGGCAGGACCGGCAGTGGCTTTTCCCAGGTGTGATCACAGCACACTACAGCCTCCAAACCTTGGCCTCAAGTGATCTTCCTACCTCAGCCCTGGGAGTAGCTGGGACTGCAGTGTACGCCATTGTGCCCAGCTTCTCATTAACTTATTATTATTATTATTATTATCGAGATGGAGTCTTGCTCTGCAGCACAGGCTGGAGCGCCGTGGCGCCATTTCGGCAGAGGTTGCCGTGGTTCCTTAGCAGCTGAGGAATGTGCTTATTTGTGACAGACAGTGGTATTTGTTTCTTTCTTACCGCTTGTTTATTCCATTCCTCTGTGTGTATGTGTGTATTTGCATATAGCTCCCAAAAAACCCTCTTTTTCCACTGAAAAAAAGTGAGGGGAAGGGGAAGGGGAAGGGTGCTGCTTGCTTACAGAAAGAACATGGAAATGGCCCACCTGGAGGACGCAGGCTGCCCGGGGGTGAGTTGGGATGGGGATGCAGGCTGCTCATGGGTGAGTTGGGATGGGGATGCAGGCTGCTCAGAGGTGAGTTGGGATGGGGATGTAGGCTGCTCAGAGGTGAGTTGGGATGGGGATGTAGGCTGCTCAGAGGTGAGTTGGGATGGGGATGTAGGCTGCTCAGAGGTGAGTTGGGATGGGGATGTAGGCTGCTCAGAGGTGAGTTGGGATGGGGATGCAGGCTGCTCATGGGTGAGTTGGGATGGGGATGCAGGCTGCCCAGAGGTGAGTTGGGATGGGGATGCAGGCTGCCCAGGGGTGAGTTGGGATGGGGATGCAGCCTGCTCACAGGTGAGTTGGGATGGGGATGCAGGCTGCTCACAGGTGAGTTGGGATGGGGATGTAGGCTGCTCAGAGGTGATTTGGGATGGGGATGCAGCCTGCTCACGGGTGAGTTGGGATGGGGATGCAGCCTGCTAACGGGTGAGTTGGGATGGGGATGTAGGCTGCTCAGAGGTGAGTTGGAATGGGGATGCAGCCTGCTCACGGGTGATTTGGGATGGGGATGCAGCCTGCTCACGGGTGAGTCTGGATGGGGATGCAGGCTGCTCACGGGTGAATTGGGATGGGGATGCAGCCTGCTCACGGGTGAGTTGGGATGTGGATGCAGGCTGCTCACAGGTGAGTTGGGATGGGGATGCAGCCTGCTCACGGGTGAGTTGGGATGCGGATGCAGGCTGCTCACAGGTGAGTTGGGATGGGGATGCAGGCTGCCCACGGGTGAGTCTGGATGGGGATGCAGGCTGCCCAGAGGTGAGTTTGGATGGAGATGCAGGCTGTTCAGAGGTGAGTTCCATTGCACCCACTTTCTGTTGGGCAGATCCCATCACATGGTTCCAGCTAAACACAAAGATAGCTGGGAAAAGGAGTTTTCACTCACCCAGGGAAAAATGAAAGGTCTGGCAAACAGCACTGTCACTGTCACTGAGGAGTTGGAGTGGGGAGGGGATGGCCACCAGGGGAGTGAAAGAGACTGGTCTGGTTTGAAAGGCAAGCAGTCTGTGCTGGGCGGTTTTCTGACGGACAGTGCATGCTGTGGCGACCCTCTCAGCTCCAGGTACATGAGGAGACTTAGGGGCGGGGACATTAAGCAGAATCCCCAGGGGTTATGTCAGTGGTGAACCCGGGGGATCCTATCTGCATAGAGTAGATGACTCTGGTGAGACCACTGTGTCAGTCCGATGGTTTTATTGGATCCCGTGACACAGCTAGGAGTTGAGGAGTTGCCTACACAGCGACAAAGGCAAAGAGGAGAGAGAACTCAGCTCCCCACGCAAGCCGTGTGGGGCAGGAAGGCTGCTGCTTCTTCTTTTTTTTTTTTTTTTTAATTTTTTCTTTTATTTAAAAAACTTTTTTAAAAATACGGAACACTTCACGAATTTGCATGTCATCCAAAGTGAGATGCAGCTGCATCCATCCTTCTGAGGGTGCAAGCCTGAACCTATGTTTGCAGGAGACTCAAGGAGAGTGGGCCTCAGAGAGGCCAGAGCAAGGCAAGCCACTGGAAAGGAGGCGAAGGCTTGACAGGGGAGCCGGAACCCCGGGAGGCTTGGCATGGATTTTGGAATAAGGATCAGAGGTACCGCAAATTGGTTTCTCGGCTGAGCTGCCACACAGGAGCCTACGGCCCCAGGCTCTTCCCTGTGTTCTCAGATTCCAGTTTCTCCCGGCTGATGGAGCAGGCACTGTCTGAAAGATTTGGGAAAACTTCAGGAATCCGGTTAGTTGGCAATCATATCCAGGGTTTATTTTTAAAAAAACAAAACATTCACATAGTGTTGTTACAATTTTTGGTGGGAAAATGCTTGTACTAGAAAACTAAAAGGAGATATGAAACTAAGTCACAGTCAGTTTTTAAACGTTAACCTGAAAATTCTCAGTGATGATTCAGCAGCACACTTCGGCTCCTCCTGTACAGCTTCGGTCCCGGTGAAGAGCATGGTTACTGACAGGCAAGATCCTCTGGCCTCGAAGTTTCACTTGAGGTAAAAGAGCTCATCTCAGGTCAATAACAGGCCAAGAATGGTGGGCACCACGATCACTAGCCAACTTGCAATCCATTCTACTGCAAAGGACCGAGCTGAAAGAACAAGAGAACCCTATACTCAGGCATCTTAACTAATGTGTTGAGAAGGGTCAGGGGTACTGGACACTGGTGTGACAGCTCACAGAGGAAAAGAATGAATTCTTCCCTGAATCCAATCCTATTTGCCTGGGACATCTTCTTCCTTAATCTCCCCAAACATAAAGTATAGAAAGTGCAGAAATTTCATAAACAGCACTGGCTTAGCTGGGTCCCATGCTCGAAGGTTCCCTTGACGTATCTGTGGCCTGGGAAAGCGTCACTCCCGTACTCTGGACATCAACAAGATACGGCAGGTCTTTGTAATACAATGCACAGCTGACATGAGAGAGAAAAGGACCACTTCCTTTTCTTATTTCTCCACCCCACTAAGTATCTGCACCAACTAGAAAAAAGAAGGGAAGGGAGAGGACGACAGAAAAGGAGAGAAAAAGAAAGAGGATGGGAGGAAAGCTCAGATGCGGGGCTGGGGCGGAGCCGAGCTGGAGGAAATCAAAACAGAAAAGCAATGAGTGATACAATGGGGAAGGGAGGTTGAAGGTGCTTTCTAGGATAATTTGCGTGACTAAAAAGTGACAGAGGCGTTTACCCTTCCACAAAAAAAAATGGATGTGTTACTACTGCTTTTATCCTCTCTGTGGATGAACCTCACACCCATTTTATGGAGGACAGGAAATGCGCTTCTTCCTTTTTCTGGATCTCAAGATGTGATACTGATATGAGGGTGGTGTTGAAACCACCAGCCAAATTGTTGTATCATGGTCAGACACCAAACTGTCAGAGTGGGTCTGTGGTGGCAGGAGAGAAAGCCCTGTCAGGACAGGGTAGTAGAGACCGGGCCAATTAGTCGGGAAGAATAAGGAAGAGCATACAGGCTCTGTAGTCCACATGTGGGAGTAGAGGTAAAGGAATCAGTGCAGGTGAGGAGGGTAGATCAAGCCCAGGAAGACCACGAAGCATCAACGTTCTCAGTGGCCAGGATCCCTGACGACAGGGTCACAGGTGAATGTGAGCACCTCAGGTCTGAGTTATTCTAAAACAATATGTACACCAGGACTCAGTGATCTAACTTCAGGATTGTGGAGGTAGGGGGCCCAGAGTGCTGGTGATATTGATCCACGGGTCCCCAAAACTCTAGGAGACTGTGTTTCATTTAGCTCCCGCTTACTAAGGACCTGTCAGGCACTGTGCCAGGCAGTTTATGTGTCTTGTCTCATTGAATCCTTAGCACCAGATAAGAACTGTTATTTTGGCCGGGCGCGGTAGCTCATGACTATAATCCCAGCACTTTGGGAGTCTGAGGCGGGTGGATCACGAGGTCGAGAGATAGAGACCGTCCTGGTCAACATGGTGAAACCCCGTCTCTACTAAAAATACAAAAATTAGCTGGGCATGGTGGCTCATGCTTGTAGTCCCAGCTACTCAGGAGGCTGAGGCAGGAGAATTGCTCAAACCCAAGAGGCGGAGGTTACAATGAGCCGAGATCGCGCCATTGCACTCCAGCCTGGGTAACAAGAGCAAAACTCCGTCTCAGAAAAAAAGAAAAAAGAACTGTTATTTTACCCTTTATTTAGGAAGATCATGACTTGGGGAAACTAAGTAACTTGTTTAGCTAGTAAGTGACAGTCCTAGAAGTGACCCCAAGTGTGACTGACTCTAAAACCCATGGCCTTAGCTGTCCCACGCTAGCACCAGTGTAGGCCTGATCTAGAGCCAGGTGTGACACTCCAGTGAGTGGATCCTCCCAGGAGACGGGAATTTGGCTTCCTAACTTCACCTAGGTACATCAGCCTGGGGAGGAGAAGCTTCGCCTGAGGCCCAGGCTCTCATGCCTGCTCGACGGCCTCTCTCATCCCCATCTCCTCCGTCCCTCTTTCCTTGGCTGACTTCGTCTGTCTAATGAAGCCCCTCTAGACAGCTGCTCTCCCACTTGCCCTTCCTTCTCCCTGCTCACCCTGATGTTTCAGACTGCTCTACGATGACCCTGGCCTCAGATGTTAGGACTATGCTTTGTTAGAGCAGGAGGGGGAAGAGAAGCATCAGGGGTCTCTGCCAAACCCCCCTTGCAGGTGAGGACACTGAGCTCCACAAAGGTGAGGTCAGCTGACTGGGAGGTGGTGGTAGAGCTGGTGGCAGAACCCATGTCTCCCAGCTCTCCCAGACACCGCCACACCATGCAAGGAGGCTGAGCAGGACCCCCAGCCCTTCTTCGTTACCAGTTACCCTGTGCACCGCTCAGCTCCCCGGGGATCCTTCTTACCCAGGGTACAGGGTGGACTGAAGCAGACCGTGTCATTCTCGCTGCTCACGGGATTGCTGACTTGGCAAGTGTAACACCTGGAGGAATCCTGTGACTTGAGGGTGGTTTCCAGCACACCGCCCTGGAACTCCTTTGGGAAGGGCCCTTTGTCCCGGTACCAGGTGTAGCTTACAGACTCGTCAGGTATCACACATGACAGTTTCAGATAACAGCCATCCTCCGCTTTTTCTGTCTTCTCAATTTTGATGTCAGGCTTGGGTACAGGGTCTGAAAGTGAGGAGGATGTTATAAAATGAGACAAGGAGGCAATCATGCCGTGAGAGTTGAGCCAACAAAGAGCGAAGGGAGTCAGGGAAGGGGCCTGATTGCCCCAGGAGGCAGAGTCTTGAGGAAGAAGTCCTACAGAGGGAGCCAGTGAGCAGCCTTGACCTCCTGAGGCCTCACAGACTGCAAGAGCATCTCCTAGGCAGTGAAACTAAGCTGGGTCCCTGAGGGGGCGCCAGAGTCCATTACATGCTCTGGGAACAAAATGGGGTTATGATCATGTGTGAACCTGAAAGAACAGCCCAGAGACCTGCTGGGGTCAGACTTAGGGTACCAATTGTCTGAGATGCTCAGGGCCCCTTCTCTAGCAATGCTTCACAGTGGGCACCTTGGCTGGTCTGCCTCTCAAGAATTCTTGGGCTCACATTCATCAAGAGTCCTAGGTAAGCGGTACCCGCCTGCACATGGCAAAGCCCTTTGCACAACCGTCCAGTGCAGGTGCCAGCCTTCTGGACTCTGGCAGAGCTACAGAGAAGAACTTCATGTAACTTCCAGCCTCATCAATGGTGATAAACGGATTGGTCTGCTGACTTTGGGATCTCTGTGTCTAGCACAATCCCTGCCACATGGCAGGTATTCTATAAGTATCTCATGAAACGATGAATGAATGAAGTAGTTATGAGATAGAAAGGATGAAACAGGGTTGGGTGCAGTGGCTCACGCCTGTAATCCCAGCACTTTGGAAGGCCAAGGTGGGCGGATCATGAGGTCAGAGATCGAGACCATCCTGGCCAAAATGGTGAAACCCCATCTCTACTGAAAACACAAAAATTAGCCAGGCATGGTGGCATGCGCCTGTGGTCCCAGCTACTCGGGAGGCTGATGTGGAAGAGTCACTTGAACCCAGGAGGTGGAGGTTGCAGTGAGCTGAGACTGCGCCACTGCACTCCAGCCTGGCAACAGAGCAAAACTCCGTCTCAAAAAAAAGAAAAAAAAAGAAAGGATAAAACATGGCCAGGTGCAGTGGCTCACACCTATAATCCCAGCACTTTGGGAGGCTGAGGCAGGAGGATTGCATGCAGCCAGGAGTTAGAGACCAGCCTGGGCACAATGTTAGTAAGCTAAAATGTCACTTGTCGTGGAGAATTGCTTTTTGCAGAGTGTAAGTATTGCAGCAGACATTCTAGAGGTCCCTTTACCATTATTACTGTTGTCCTGCTGCCAGACAGAAGGGGAGATAGTCCCAGTATCTGGTCCTTCCTTGGCTAAGGCTGGTTTACCTGCAATCCTCTGCGATCTTTTCATTCTGCAAAACATCTGCAGAATCAATGCAGCTCAAACTCCATAAGGTTAAAAGACGGCAGAGAATTGACCGGATGAGAGCTTGCCTCTCGACTGCATGTGGGGCTCTAGAAGCTCTACCAGTCTGGACCCGGGAACTCTAGTTTCATCTCCTCTGTGAAGCCGATCTCAGATTGTTAAGAGATTGTTCAGACTACAGAGGAGTTAAAAGTGAACTGGACTTCCCCTACATGCTTTAATTGAGCAATTGTTATCCTGAGTTTCACCATTTCCTGTATTCTAGCCTCTTCTCTTACACTCCTTCTGCAGATCCCATGGTGATCAGCACAGCACTGGACACTCTGCTGATGAAATTAATTGACCAGCTTGGGTTGTCCAGCTCTAAGATACTCACTTTGAGCTGTCAAATGCTTGGGCTGAACCAGAGGACTATTTTTCTGCTAATCACATCCTGGAAATCTTACCCTCAGACAGAATGTGCTTTCCCTCAGGCAGGAAGCTCAAACCAGTTTGTGGATTCTTAAGTATTCAGAAGTTTTGCAAGCTTTTTGTGAAACCATTAGTTTATTGAAATCAACTGTGGTAGTAGTATTTAAACCACAGAAATTACAAGTTGGTAAATGATACACATTAGGGCTTTTAAAAAAAAATTTATCTTGGAGAACTTGTTAACACCACTGTAAGAGACCTTGAATCTTTTCTGTTTCCAGGACTTTCTGAATTTTCAGGCTATATGATGCGGAAGAAGAGTTAGAAGGGGAATCTGACTCCTTAGATCAGGGACTCTCTGGCTGGTGGAACCTGAATATACACAACACTCTTCATTTGCATCTTTTAACATTTTTTAAAATGTTTTCATTTTTCTTCTCTACTTTGATTCTTACAACATCCTAAAAGGTAGGTAGAATTAGCCTCATAACATGATGAAGAACCCAAGACTCCCAAGGGAACTCCACTCTTGGATATTTAGCCCCCTACCCTTCCACAAGAATTGCATACCCCAACCCCTGGAGACCTCCCGAGATCGGTTTCTGCCATGTGAGCTGACCCTTTCACCATAAATGTTTAGATCAGGTACACACACCTGAACTAAATTGGGACTGTCAGTTTCTCTCTCTTTAAATTGCCCTGAGAATTGAAACTCAGTGGAGCAAAAGTCTAAGCTTTGAGAGCTAACGAGTGTAAAATGGCAGGAATCCAAATCCATAGGCACGTTCCAGAGATTCCTGAGGCTAGGGGCTCCAGCCTGACCCTGGTTTTCAATCCTCCTCCCCTTCAGCCCTTCCTGGCTCTTTTAAACTCCCGGAATTGCTTTAAATAGGCCCAGTTCCTTAAACTAAATTCTCCTTTTTTTGGTAAAGGTACATTGAATTAGTTTCTGTTACTTGCTATCAAAAGAATCTTACCTAATATGGACACAGAGATGTGAAGATCTTTTTCCAAGGTTGCACAGCCAGTGAGCAACTGACCAGAGTTTTGAACTCAAGTCTGTCTGACTCCAAGCATAATGCCCTAGTCCTTATTCCTTATTCCATATATACTGGTTAGACTGGAGCTGTGAGTGGAAGTTTTTCGTCCCGCTCGTTATGAAAGGTGAAAAATTCTCCTAGTAACTTCTGCCCCATTCTTGATATTAATACATTCTCTTTTTTTTTTTTTTAAGTCCAATGAAGCCTAAGTTTAGACGTATAATTAAGATGAGCAGAGCCAATTTAGGTTGCTCACAGGACAGAATGAAGAAATAGAGAGAAGAAAATCTCTAGTTTTCCTTCTCCTCAAATATTAGACTCACTAACTTCAGAAGAGGTGTTAAATGTCCTAAGATTGTTAATTTGAGGATCTGCTGGCCTAGGCTCACTCTCAAATAGAACTGGATCCAGGGAAAATGAACCAAACCTGTCCTGAGGTTTTTCTCTCCTCCTCCCCAAGTGGCCCATGCCTCCCAGGAAGCCCCACAGTAGTCCATCTGGGGCCCCTGGAGTGGGGATTTGCTCTTTGGCTCCCCGACTCACCGAACACCTGCAGCCTGACCTTCCATTCTTGCTCAAACAAGGTCTCCTTCAACACCCTCATGATGTAGATGTTGGCATCCTCCTTCTCGACCTTAGATATGTACAGTGCACCACTCTGAGAATCGAGTCTGACCCTGCCTTTAAATTTATTTTCATAGTACCTAAGTCTTCTGACATCCCAGTCTGCAATCTTCAGGTCATAAGTACAAAACCAAGTTATTCCTTGGACGTTCTCAGGTAGGCTCTGGGAGATGTTCAGAGTCACACTGCCGCCGGAGACCGCGTTTATAACAGGTACCGAATCACCTGCCAATGAGAGTCAGAGTGAGACCTGCCCTAGAGAAGGCAGTGTTGCTAAGAGACCCAGGGTGTAGCCTGGGCTGATGGAACAGGCGAGAAGGAAGGGATTTCTGCTTAGGAGCAGTGAGTATAGTTTTTATTGGTGGTCCAGGTCGCCTGCTCAGGAATTCAAGAAAAGTTGGAGATCGAAAAGTGGACACAAGGGGAGGGAGTGTTGCTTATAATTCATCTAGTGCTGCCCCCAGAAAATAAAAGAATTGAGTAAGGCCAACTGAGGTTGGGCCCGGCTCTCTCCCTTACTCCCATACCAGTAAGCTTTCAAATAAACTGATGACAAATCATACCTCCTCTCTGGTCTTGTGTTTCCTGTCTGTTCAATATAGTTCCATAAGCATTTTGTTAGTTCCTAGAGGCAAAGACCTAAAAAGTACATGATTCCATTTTCAAAGATTGAATACACCAATGTGGGAGGACAGACACACAAACAAATAATCCTAATATCTCGGTGACTGTAATACAGTTAATGGAGGAGCCAAGGAAAGCTTCCCCTTCACCTTCTGAAGATTTGCCAGAAATCACTGACAAGAGGCAAATTAAGGAGAAAAGGCATCCAGATGAACTTGAGGTGTATGCAGAGCCTTCAGAAGGAAGGGTCAAAGATACAGGGCAAATTGTCCATTTTTATGCTTAGGTTCAACAAAGTACGGACAGTCGTGGGGAAATATGATTGGACGAAAGGATATGATCGAATGCTAATAGACTGATGGAGGGAACCCAGCAAGGCCTGCCTGTCTAGACTCTGCCTGGCCTTTCTATGCCACATTCCTTCCTTCCTCCCGTGTGTGGGGCAGGCTGTCTCTGGAATGGGGGTCTTATGATTCACAGTCACACAAGATAGGTCAGATAATTTCTCTGTGGCTGTTTTTTGTTGTTGTTGTTATTGTTGTTGTTGTTGTTGTTGTTTTTAACATAGAAAGGCTCGAGGAAAGTTAGGGTGGTATATTTAAGTTCTATGGCTGGCTTTGGGGAAAAGGGGTTTGGGTTTCTATGACCTGCCTTGGGAAAGAGGGATTACAGTGTCTATGGCTAGCCTAGGGGAGGACAGGACTGAGAGACAGAAGGGCAGAAGGTCAGAGAAAAACTTTCACTTCTGAGGCTGCTTCTGAGGCCACGATTTTGGGGCACTGTTTTCTGAGTCCCGACAATAAACACAGTGTGCTATGGGAATGTATTCCTATCCAGAGGGTAGGGATAGAAAATGGAGAAAATACGAACAAAAATCTCTTTGGAGGAGATGACCACTAAGGTAAGCCAAAGGATGATTAAGAGCTATTATTTGTTGAGAACTATCTGTCGGGCACTATTTGAGATGCTTGCGATACATCAATGAACTAAGCAGCAAAGATCCCCACCTCAGCAGAGCTGACATTAGAGTTGGGTGAAAAGACAGTAAGCAATAAATACACTAACCGAACACACTATCTAGCGTGTAAGGAGGTGATAATTGCCATGACAAAGGAGAAAACCTAAAAGAGGGTAAGGGGAGTCACGAGTGCTGCTAGGGGTAGAAGGGTGAACTTCATTTATAAGGTGATAAGTGTAAGGGCTATTGCCAAGTTTAAAATGAGGAAACTGAGGCCAGCATAAGAAAATTAAATGCCATGTTTATTCAGCTCCCAGGCGAGGTTCTATGGTCCCAGGGAAAGGGGGCCAGAGAAGTCGCGCTGACTTCCTGGGGCAGGGGGGTTTTATGGCTAGGAAGAAGGAGCAACAGCTGGGTGCTCTGATTGGGTCCAGGGGAGCAGAATTGAGATGGGGTGGGCCGCTATTGGTTGGCGGGTTGTTGGGTGGGTTTTCTGGTGCAAGAGCTGGCCAGGGTTGCATTAGCCGGAGCCTTCCAAGGGAGCCATGCGGCAGAGCTAGGTGCCGAGTGCAGAGCCTGGTGCCGGGTGCAGAGGTGGGTGTGTCCGGCCTCCCTGCAAGGCAACCGGCCTTACAATAAGTAGGTCACATCTGAGCAAAGACTTGGAGGAGAAAGGTGGCCAAGCAGATATCTTGGGTAAGAGGGACCCAGACAGAGAGAGGAAAGAGCCAGAGCAAAGGCCCTAGGGCAAGGGTGTCCCTGCCACATGTGAACAATAGCAAGGAGCGGCAAGTAGGTAGTGTGGAGCCAGCAAGGGGAGTGGGTGTTGAGAGACAGTGAGAGAGGAGTGGATTGGACAGAGTGGATGAACACATTTTAGCTTTATTCATAATGTTTCATCCTGTAAAAAACAAAAATGTTACCCTGTAAAAATGGCTCATGTCTTGCCGGGGGTGGTGGCTCATGCCTGTAATCCCAGCACTTTGGGAGGCCGAGGCGGGTGGATCACGAGGTCAAGAGATCGAGACCAACCTGGTCAACATGGTGAAACTCCGTCTCTACTAAAAATACCAAAATTAGCTGGGCATGGTGGCACGTGCCTGTAATCCCAGGTACTCAGGAGGCTGAGGCAGGAGAATTGCTTGAACCCAGGAGGCGGAGGTTGCAGTGAGCCGAGATCGCGCCATTGCACTCCAGCCGGGGTAACAAGAGCGAAACTCCGTCTCAAAAAAAAAAAAAAATGGCTCATGTCTTGTGTGCACATTTACAATGTGTTTAGAAGCAAGTTACTAGAAGGTAAGAAAGTGGAGACTGTATAAACTATTATTTCACAAAATTTGGATCTGAGGCAGATTTCCCGTGAAGGGGATGAAGCTGAAGCTTCGGGGCTTCTTGGTTGGCCCTGGAGGCGCTCTAGCAGTGTATTCATGTGATCCGTTTTGCAAAACATATCTTTAAACACAAATAATTAGCCCACTGCCTTCATCTACGCTAAAATCCCCTTCAGTCCCATTTCTGTTTTTGTTGGGTGGCATCTCAATTATGGGCATTTTGAGGTCTGGCTACGGGGAAGTAGAAATGGGGTTAGTTGGGGTTAGTGGGATATATGTATGAGGGTTGCAAAATCTTGTGTGCGAAGTTCTTTTACATTGCAATGCAATCTGAAGCTGAGGAAGGAGAAACAATAAAAATAGACTGTTCTCTTAAGACATTCCCACTTGAATGGGGAACAGAATGGCAGGGCATTGTGTAAAGAAAAGGTAGAGAGTGTTTTGTTTTTGTTCTTAGTGGTATTTAAAAAGGAAAAAGACCTAAGCCAATGGAAGGATCCAGTGGAGGGAAGACATGAAGAGAAGGGAGGTGATTGCTGAGCCTGGTCTAGTGGGGCTCAGAGCAGCCCTGATGACCAGGAGGAGAGATACTTCCTCCCTGGAGGGAAAAGAGCAGGAGAGGCAGAGGAGGTGATGGAGAGAAGCTACTAGTTTGAAGATGGTGGGTAGGAAGTTGAAGGGCCTCCTGCCTAATGGTCTCTAGTTTCCATTTCTTCTGCAACGAAGGTGGCATGTGCTTTGCTGAGAGGGCAGAGGACTGAGGTAAGGGGCCTTGAGGATAAGGGTGAAGGTTTGAAATAGTCACTGTGGGAAATGGGAGAAAGAATTTAGTAGGGCCAGTAAGAGCTACTCTGAGACCCCAGCTTGACTGAAACAATGACTCAAAATTTACTCCTTCCCTCTTTCCTTTGCTCCTTTCCTCCCTCCATTCACCCGTCTCTCCACGCATACATGTGTACATGAACTTCCTCATGTATTCACTCATCTAATAACTACACAGTAAGAACTTACTATCTGCTAGTCTCTGTATGCATACAAGAGATGGATGCAGTTCCTTCCCTTGAGCTTCCAGTCCAGTGAATCAACACAATTCATCAGATGCTTTCACTATTGACAGTGTTAGGAAAAGGAAAATATGGAATGCTTGGAGGGCATATAAAAGGGAGCACGTCACTTGAATTTGGGGGTTGAGAATGGCTTCTGCAAGAGGAATTAGTCTGAGTGGGCTTAAGCCAGGGAAAGGTGAGGACTGGAGGTAGTGAATATTCCAACAAGAGGGAAAAAGAGTTAAATGCCCAGAGACACCAAAATGAGATTTATTTATGGAATAGAAAGTAGCTCACTGGTTAAAACACAGACTAAGGAGGGCGGGAAGTGAGCTTATTATAAAATGTAAACTTTACACTCACAACTGCTTTCTCATCTCCCACAGTGGCTACTGAAGAGTTTTCAGCAGAAGAGTGAAGTAAACAGAGAACCATTTTGGACAATGTATACTCACGGCAGGGTAGAGAACAGGTTAGCTAGAGAGAATGCAGTAAATAGAGCAGTTAGGATAGCAGATCATTGTGGAAATTGGTGATAACAGAAAATGGTGGCTCGATAGGTAGCACGGGGGTACATGGAATTGGACATATTTGAGAGATATTTTTGAAACTAGAATTAACTGGACTTACTCATTGGGCATGAGAAACAAGGGAAAGACAAGAATCAAGGATGACTCCTAGAATTCTGGCCCGAGCAACTGGGCAAGTGGAGATGCCTTTTATAGAGGTGGGGAACAGTAGAGGAGCAGTAGGTTTAGGGAAAAGAAGGATTACAGTTGTTGTTTTTTTTAAGTCTGTAAATTTTTGACAGTCCTCTCATCAGATGATGGACTTTGTGCCCCTCTTCCTTGAACTCGAGTAGGCTTGGTGATGGCCTCAATGAATGGAATACAGCAGAAGTGAGACTTGCAAAGCTAGCTTAGAAAACACTATGCACCGTTTGCCTGTTTCTCTTGGGACACCAACTCTGGGAGACTTGTGCTGGGTGATGCCAGCCACTCAGCTCTTTGAGTCTCCCTTAGTTCAGGCAGTAGCCCTGTGAGTGAAGAGCCTTGCATGACTCTAGGCCACACCATGATCTGATTGCAAGCACCTGAAAAGCCCTGAGTAAGACACAATGTACAGTCTTCCCCCAGATCTGTGGGCAAAGTAAATCATTGCTACCACCTTAAGCCATGGTACTGTGGCAGCTTGTTAAACAGCAACACATATCGGGAATAGGGATGATGAGTCAAGTTTTAGACATGTGTCTGGAGAGTCTAGAGAAGATGTTTAAGAGACAGAAATTCAGGTCTTGGCCTCAGGCAACTGCTTTGGGCTTAGGAATTTACGTATGCTCTTCCCAGGCTTTCATCTGTATCAGCTTGTGTGCATGTCATGATTTTAAAGCAATTGCAATTTTTTTTTTTTTTTTTTTGAGACAGAGTCTCACTCTGTCACCCAGGCTGGAGTGCAATGGTGCGATCTTAGACTACTGCAACCTCTGCCTCCCAGGTTCAAGCGATTCTCTTGCCTCAGCCTCCTGAGTAGCTGGGATTACAGGCACGTGCCACCGCACCCAGCTAATTTTTGTATTTTTAGTAGAGGTGGGGTTTCAACATCTTGACCAGGCTGGTCTTGAACTCCTGATCTAATGATCCACCCGCCTCGGCCTCCCAAAGTGCTGGGATAACAAGTGTGAGCCACCGCTCCCGGTCCACAAATTTTTTATTTGATTTGATCTTAATAGCAACCCCTTGAAGAAATGAGGAACAGATTATTACATTCATTATAGAACTGAGGAAATAGTATTTCTGGTACAATACTATTTCTCTATCCTGCTAAGTGTTGTAGGCAGATAGGGAATTGCCTGGTTGTGGAGTGTGCCCTGAATCATTGCCTTGAAATCAAAGAGCTGAGAAACCCAAGTCTGAGGAGAGAAGGAAGAAGAGAGCTAAGAGTGCCTCTCAAACTTTTCCACAGAAGCATCCCTTACTGCAGAGGAGAGAACTACTTCACCTTCCAGGAAGATATGGATACAGAGTCCAAAAGGAAGTTTTCTGAAGTTGTTCATTCATTTGTTTAACAGTTATATATTGACCACATGCCCCACCCCAGGCACTGTGCTAAGTTCAGCAGCACAACACTGCACGTGTTTCTGTCCTCAGAAATTTTAGGAAACAGATGATCACAAACCATAATCTGGAGCCGGAGGTTCCCGTGTGACCATGTCTCCAGAACACAGTCACAGGCAGACAGTCCAGGCAGAAGTCACATGAAAACGGAAGCTTAAAAGACAGGAAGAGAGGGGAGGGAGGAAAATCTAGGTGGAAAGAAGGCATGGACATAAGCCCAGAGGCAAGAGAAAACACCTCTTTTAAGGCAAACAGTAAAATTAAGAGATTTAGACACATTGACCTTCATCAAGATTCCCTGCTAGGAAAAGCATACTTGTAATAAAATGGTTTGGAAGTTAGACCTGTGTGCCCTTAGACGAAGTTCTTAATCTCTCTGAAAGATAATATTCTCCTCTGAAAAATGTAGATAATAATAGCCACCTCACCGTTTTCTATGAAAGTTAAATGAAAAAGTATGCAAGATGCCTAACACAATGTCTGACAGACAGTAAATGCTTAATCTGTATTTTACTAACCTAGGTTATAGAAATAGATAACCTAACCTCATCAAAACCAATGTTATCCATTCAAAGGATAACATAAGCGGGTGGGGTCTGCATATTTCAATCAAAGAAGAATCAATGACCAAGATGAAGCCTAGGGATGACCAACTATCAGGACATTTTCAGTATGCGCAGAGAAAGTCCTGAAGTATTCCAGTTCTCACTGGCAACGCTGTTTTTGCCAATAGTTAGATGAATACTTCATGTCAGCCCCCCACTCCCAAAGCCATACCAGTGTCCTATGCATTGAGTCAGCCCCACAGAACCCATACAACTGTGGACTCACACAGCCATGAACCAAAAGACTGCCGACCTGAGAGGCAGAGTATGTGAGAGCCCATCTTCCACACATTCTGTCTCACCTCCCTAAAAGCTACACTCCATCATCATTTTATGCCACAGTGTGACTATCCCATGTTTGTTCATTTTTACTGTTTTACTCATAGTGGTGAGCATTAATGCCCTTCAAAGTAAAAAGACCTGAGTATTTACTTGGGGGAATAGCAAGAAAGTCAAAAGTTTCACTGCTGTTTCTCAGCTGGCAAAAGAAGACAGAAACTGGATGAAGAGAGAGGGTGAGGCAGCTCTAACGGAAAAGGAAAGTTAGCTCTCAGAGGAACAGACCTTAACTCTTAGCAATCAGGTGTGTTAAGATTCCTTTGATCCCGATATACTTCCAGCCTCTTCTGAGACCCTCATTCAGAGACCCCAGACGGCAATCGTTTCCAAGCTTTTCTTCCTACAGTTTTGATCTATCTTTTATTTGGGTCAATGACAATACTATTTATCTTGGCTCAGAACACAAAGCCTCACCTACACAGTGGTCTCAACGAATGCCTGAAGGATTACAGCATGTCTGAACACAAAATGTAGCAGCTTCTTCTTATTCAAAATGCAAAAACAGCCGGGCGCGGTGGCTCAAGCCTGTAATCCCAGCACTTTGGGAGGCTGAGGCGGGTGGATCACGAGGTCGAGAGATCGAGACCATCCTGGTCAACATGGTGAAACCCCGTCTCTACTAAAGATACAAAAAATTAGCTGGGCATGGTGGCACGTGCCTGTAATCCCAGCTACTCAGGAGGCTGAGGCAGGAGAATTGCCTGAGCCCAGGAGGCGGAGGTTGCAGTGAGCCGAGATAGCGCCATTGCACTCCAGCCTGGGTAACAAGAGCGAAACTCCGTCTCAAAAAAAAAAATGCAAAAACAAACACTTTCCCATAAGTTCATGGACCACCAACCATGAGACAAAATATGAGGGGCCTAGTTCTGCTTCTCCGCAGCGTTCTGTTTTGGTCACATCCCCTTGGGAAAGGAGATGAAGCTCAATTCTTCAGTGCTCAGGAAGGCTCCCGGCCATGCCATGCCCTGCTAACGGAACGGAATTACCTGCTTTCCAGACCCCAGATACCGCTTCCGGGGCTGAACCACATCCCATCTCCCCTTTCCCAGCAGACATGCCTTCAGTGCACAATCACAGGTAGACGGCTGGCGGAGAGTACCTTGAATGCTGGCAGCGAGGACTAACAGATGCAGCAGTAGCAGTTCCAGAGCCAGACTCCGATCCCAACCTCTGGAGCACATGCTTCCTTCCAGAACGTTCCAGGAATGCCGCAGACAGTGGAGAGCCTGAGGAGAAACGGATCCGGGCTAAAAAAGGAACTTACCATATAGGGTTAGAGGAAAATACCCACTGAGCTTTTCTCTCCACCCACCACACTTACGTGGAGCCCCAGAAACCAGAACAGGAAGCCTTGTAAATTTTTTTTTACTAAGAAACACAAAGGAAACAGACCAATTTTGTTTGAATGTATATGAGTGCTTTTCTGTAGGGAGAAGATTCATAGCTTCTACTGGACTCTCAGGGGGGCGATCAGTGCTCAGAAAAGATTAAGGGACCCTGATGGAGAATCTCTGCCTTTGCTTTCCAGGCAGGGATCGCTGATTAATTCAGGGGCTAAGACATAGGAGGTACTCACTCAAGCCTGGGTAGGTGTCATTCATAGCAGAAAGTCTGGAAAAGGGAAATCAGACCCACACAGCCCTAGTGCACCATCTCTTACCCCCAGCGCCACCTTCTAGCTCTTCCTCCTTTATGATAATTCACCGTGTGAAGCTTGACATCAGTCTACCCACTGAACATTGGAAGAAAAGTAAGATTACTTGGCCCAAAATAATGGATTCCCCACCCTTGTGGTCTGTATTAGAGTGTTCTCACACTGCTAATAAATACATACCCCAGACTTGATAATTTATAAAGGAAAGGGGCATTGGTTTGTTTTTATTTTTGTTTTTGAGACAGAGTCTCGCTCTGTAGACCAGACTGGAGTGTAGTGGTGCAATCTCGGCTCACTGCAACCTCCACCTGCCGGGTCAAGCATCTCTCCTGCCTCAGTCTCCTGAATAGCTGGGATTACAGGCAAGCACCACCATGCCCAGCTAATTTTTGTATTTTTAGTAGGGTTTCACCATGTTGGCCCAACTAGTCTCAAACTCCTGACCTCAAGTGATCCACCTGCCTCAGCCTCCTAAAGTGCTGGGATTACAGGCATAAGCCTGTGCCCAGCCAGGAAAGAGGTTAAATTGATTCATAGTTCAGCATGGCTGGGGAGGAATCATGAAATCTACAATCATGACATAAGGGAAAGCCATACATCCTTCTTCACATGGTGGGAGGAAGGAGAAGCACCAAGCAACAGTGGGGAAAGCCCCTTATAAAACCATCAGATTCGGTAAGAACTCACTCACTATCACGAGAACAGCATGAGGGTAACAGCATGAGGGTCACCACTCCCATGATTAAATTACTTCTCACTGGGTCGCTCCCATGATGTGGGGATTATGGGAATTACAATTCAAGGTGGGATTTGGGTGCGGACACAGACAAATCACATCATGGTCTAAGAAATTTCAAGCCCATTCCTATTGAATCTAAATTAGTTATTTGCCCACCCAGGACCCGTAGGCAAGCCACAGTTCCTAATATAACACATTTGTAATCATTTTTTAATTGGGGACATTTCCGATTCTCAACATGGAGATGAATAATAAAATGTCTGCTCTCCTCAATCCTCAAACCTGGAGGACATTATGTTAAGTGAAATAAATCAGGCACAGAAAGATAAATACATGTTCCCCATCGTATATGAAAGCTTAAAATAAATGAGCTCAGAGAAATAGAGAGTAAGGCCGGGCGCAGTGGCTCAAGCCTGTAATCCCAGCACTTTGGGAGGCCGAGGCGGGTGGATCACGAGGTCAAGAGATCGAGACCAACCTGGTCAACATGGTGAAACCCCGTCTCTACTAAAAATACAAAAAATTAGCTGGGCATGGTGGTGCGTGCCTATAATCCCAGCTACTCAGGAGGCTGAGGCAGGAGAATTGCCTGAACCCAGGAGGCAGAGGTTGCGGTGAGCTGAGATCGCGCCATTGCACTCCAGCCTGAGTAACAAGAGCGAAACTCCGTCTGAAAAAAAAAAAAAAAAAAGAAAAAAGAAATAGAGAGTAAAATTGTGGTTATCAGAGGCTGGGAAGGGCAGGGAGCAATGGAGGATGGGGATAAGTTGATTAATGGATACAAAGTTATAGTTAGAGAAGAGGAATCAGTTCCAGTGTTCCGTAGCACTACAGGGTGAATACAGTTAAGAATAATTTATTGTGTATGTTCAAAAAGCTAGAAGAGAGGATTTTGAATGTTCCCAACACAAAGAAATGATCAATGCTTGAGGTGATGGGTATCCTAATTACTTTGACTTGATCATTACACACTGTATACATGTATCAAAATATTACTCTGTACCCCATAAATATGTACAATTATAAATTATATGTCAAGTGAAAATAAAAGGAAAAACAAACCTAAAAGTGAAAAGAAAGAACCCTGCAAAGCAAAATTCAGGACAGCACCACAATCAAATTCCTCTTGGTCAAATTGGCCACACTTTGGAACTGTGTATTTTTTCTGAGCAAACTGATTTAACCTTAGGACACAACCTTGCTCCTTCAGCAAGAAAAAGATAACATTGTGTTAATTTTTTTTTAAAAGAGACACTGTAAATTAATGTTATATTCTCTTTTTTGCAGGGAGGAGGTCACAGGCTCCTGCTCTGTCATGCATACTGTAGTGCAGTGACCACTAAGCTTGGCTAATTTTTTCTTTTTTTTTTTTTTTTTTGTAGACATGAGGGTCTCACCATGTTGTCCCAGGCTGGTCCTGAACTTCTGAGCCATGGGATCCACACTCAGCCAGTGGCTGGACCGGGCAGCCTGGGCAACATGGCAAAACCCCAACTCTACTAAAAGTAAGGAAGCGTGCTGTGACCTGCTTCCACCTTGGGCATCAGTGTCTAAAGGAGGGAAACACAGTGGCTCTATGAAACTCGGAGTTGCCAGCAACTATGGAGCCCCAAGGGCTGTTATAGCTTTTGCCTGGGGAGTCCTAAGGTCTGAGACCCCAAGAAATGTTATAGCTCTCTCTCGTTCCTGCCACCTGCAGCTCGGCAAATGAGGGCGTGTTACAGCTCTTATTCAGTCTTGCTGCCTGCAGCTCAGGAAACGGGGGTGTGTCACAGCTCTCGATTGGTCCCAGTGCCCCACAGCTCAGCCAACAGGGGCATCTTACAGTTCATTTCTATCACAGAGTCTGCAATGTGCCTACAAGAAATGGAGAGCACATAAGAAACACTATGAGAGTTATGCCGATCTGAAATTAGGAACTCAGAGAATATGGGGTCTTGAGTAGCCCACAAGTGTTCAAGGAGGAGTATGGGATTGAGCTGAGGACAGAAGACAGATACTCTGGTAGGTTAAGCAGGGCCTCGAATGCCACAATGGGCACAGCTTTGGCAGTGCATGAAGAGTGAGGGAAAGCCAAGTCATTCCAACGAATTTTCCCTCCAAAAATTAGAGCAAAGATAGGAACAGGATATATCTCCCAGGAGACCGAATTGATGAGAACAGGTGGCTAATGTAACAGTAGGTAGGCAGGCAGACATGAGCAGGGCAGGAGAGAACCTCCCACACCACCGGTAATGACAGGCAACCATCAGGTGATGGTCAGGCCATTGTTAAAGTGCCTCTCTAAAACAATACTCGGTAGCGGCCAGCACCAGAGAAAGGCAGTCTCCAAATACATAGAAAAATCTGAAACTGCCGGGCGTGGTGGCTCAAGCCTGTAATCCCAGCACTTTGGGAGGCCGAGGCGGGTGGATCACGAGGTCAAGAGATCGAGACCATCCTGGTCAACATGGTGAAACCCTGTCTCTACTAAAAACACAAAAAATTAGCTGGGCATGGTGGCACGTGCCTGTAATCCCAGCTACTCCGGAGGCTGAGGCAGGAGAATTGCCTGAACCCAGGAGGCGGAGGTTGCGGTGAGCCATTGCACTCCAGCCTGGGTAACAAGGGCGAAACTCTGTCTCAAAAAAAAAAAAAAAAGAAAAGAAAAGAAAAAGAAAAATCCGAAACTGGTGATCAGCAGCTTCCCAATAAGATCTCAGGAATTGTGTGAGTGGGCTCACACGTGCACACTAAGAGGAAAAAGGGCAAGTTTAACTGGTGTTATCACTTTCCTCTAGGAACGCTCGACTGGTAAGAGAAGAACGCCTGGCCAGGTATGGTGGCTTATGCCTGTAAGGGAGGCAGAGGCAGGTGGATCAGTTGAGGCCAGGAGCTTGAGACCAGCCTGACCAACATGATGAAATCCCATCTCTACTAAAAATACAAAAATTAGCCAGGCGTGGTGGTGAGTTTGTAATCCCAGCTACTCAGGGCACTGAAGTACAAGAACTGCTTGAGCCCAGGAGGCGGAGGTTGCAGTGAGCCAAGATCGCGCCACGGCACTCCAGCCTGGGAGACAGAGTGACACTCCGTCTCAAAAACAGACAAAATGAAAGAAGAACGCCTCAAGTGAGCATGCATGTAACTCCGGTGAACACACTGCATGTGGGGCCCCTCCCAGGTGCTAGCAGGCCACTGTGCACACAGATAGCCCACCCCAAGGGAAGAATCAAGGGAGAAGGGACACTTTAATGTACTTTGGTCCTGTGACTCAGATACGTTCTCTGGCGGTAAGAGATTTCCTCGCCTTCTTTGGCTGAAGGCGTTCAACCCCATATGTGGTTTTCGCCTCCCTTTTGCTCTCCTTCTTACTAACCAAGCCCTAGAACGATTCCTCTCAGCCTCCCTGGACAGGAGGCTTGCAAGAGTCATAGGGCTAAAGCCTGAGACCGGCAATGTCTGGAGCTTCCTCTGTTTTTTCAACTGTTATTGGCTCTTTTCCGAAAACCCGCAATGCCTATTCTCCTGTCTTCTGAAATGGCCTTGCACACCCACTGAACCATCCAGCCCAGGGGCAAGTCTGCCTTTTCTCTGTTTTCATTTGGCATGCCATGGGACTTCTTAGACACACACTCCCTGTTATTCGTGTGTCCATGGCTCTTGCTGTGGCCCATGGCTCTGGCTCTGTTTGCGTAGCAGCAAAGACATGGGCTCCCTTCTGGATATCCCCTGAGATTTACACTTGTTCTCACCCAACCAGCTCAGATGACCACCAACCCTTCCCCTGTCTGCTGGCACACTGCCAGGACAGATACTGATGGGAATCCCAGCTCTGCCAACTCCTAATGACTTACTATACGCTTT